TACGAGCTGGACCAAGATATATAGCATTAAAGCGTATGAATCAGAAGTCTTTAAGCCACGAAAATTTGATGCATGAGGTAAGGAAGTACACAATATACATTACTACTATATTAGACAAATTATGGATTGTTCATAAAGGTAATAATTTATTTTATTTTTTTAGCTCAAAACGCATTATACTTGTCTTTCTAGCGATCGGATTAAATACTGCTACGGCATTACCAGGGAAACATCCACCAATGTATACATGCTCGTAACTCATTACGCGAACAAAGGAGATTTGCGATGTTATTTGAGAAACAATTTTACAAGAATTAATTGGAATAGAAAATTAAGAATTTTATTAGATATTATTAAAGGTTTATGCTTTATTCATCAAAACAATCTTATTCATAGCGATCTTCATCCTGGCAATATATTAAAACATTTAACTGAAATTGGTGAGGAATGGACATATATAGCAGATTTAGGTTTAGTTCATTCAACAGAGAAACGTGATCGCAACAAAGAAATTTGTGGTGTAAAACCTTATGTTGCACCAGAAATTTTTCATGGGGGAAAACATACTTCTGCAATGGATATATATAGTTTTGGCATGATACTTTGGATTATGGCAACCGGCAAGTCTCCATTCTCTGGCAGAGCGGACACTGTTCATCTCATACTTGATATTTATGATGGTAAACGACCTAAAATTCCAAATGGAATTGCTCCCGAATGCTATATTAAGTTAATGGAACGTTGTTGGGATTTAGATCCTGCTAAACGTCCAACTGCTAAAGAGATTTACAAGCATATACGAGCATGGTATGTGTCTATGTATATGCGGAAGAAAAATGATACATTTGGATTTCAATCAGCCGATATAGAGCTTAAGAAACTTCATTCTAAAATTCTAACATTCATATCAAGTAATACAAATTCTCACTTTCCACCCGATGTTCTAACTAAGTCAAGAACATTAATGAATGATTATATAGAGTCACATTTACAGAGCCTTGCAATTTCGATGAGTACACGCATGCTCGCTAAAGAAGAGTCCAAAAAATTTTTGGAATTTTTTCGCAAAATTTATCGATTTTTTAAAAATTTCAATAATAATTGATAGCGATAGGTGAACACCAAGGTTGCAAACAAGATCTGACTGTATATAAATTTTAGGTTGTTAACTCAAATAGAGCGATTGTAGCATTGATGCCTATTGTTATACACGTAATCGGAAAAAGAGCGTGCATCTTTATTAGATTTCCGATTGTAAACTTGATTTCTTTATTTTCTATATTAGAAACTTGTTTCACAATCTTTTTTGAAAATATATCATTAGTATCGGTATGGTGTGAACAGCCTAAGTTATCTAATAATTAACTAATATTTTGAACTGTAAAATATTTTTTATTTTACATATATAATCATCAAAATCAAATAGCTTTTGATAATATCTATAGCATGATGCATTTTTTCGTTTAGTATACATGTTATAGTAATTTAAACAAGAAAAACGGAAACAGATCACTAATAATAAAAAATGGTGAACCAATTTTTCACCCTAATACGTACACTACGGAAGAAAGTCACCGGACACTTTACTAATTTAGCAATTACTACATGTACATGTACACTCCCCGGTCAAAAGTCTCCGACCACCTGATTTAAGATTACAGATCATTACCTTTTAAAATAAGATTACGCCAAAACTATTAAGCATAAATAAATAAAATTTTTTTTCCATGCAGCTCTTGACTTCAGCTACCTGAAAATAAAAAAATTTTTTCTTTTACAATGTCCAAAAGGCATGAACTTACTGTGTTTGAATGAGGAGAGATTATAGGTCTCTGGAAAGGAGGCCATAATGAACGAAATATTGGAGAAATTCCCTATGAGAAAAGTCCCCCGGAATTTTATCAGAATTGATACTTAATACCCGGAACCATAAGGAATTGTTTCGGAACCAAGAAGGAATTGATACTGACTGTGATTTTAGACTTTTAGATTTTTTTTAAAAGAAGTGAATTATTACGGAACCGATACCAAATACGGAATTCTTTCGGAATTTTCGGAATGCGTACTGGAATTTATACTTAATACGAATCAATTCGCAATGCAATATGGAATTTTACGCAATTTTTATAGAACTAAAACCAATGCTGAACATAATCATAATGCAAAAGGAGTTTTCACAGAACCTATTACTGGATATATAATTGATTCTGACATTATGACATAATATACCCGGAATACAAAGATGGAACTTAAATTTATTCTCAGGACCCATAATAAATGGGGCAAATTATAATTGTTTACAGATTAGCGGTGGATATTAAGATTGACGGCGGAAAATACTACTTTCGATTATATCATTTTTATCCATGATAAATTTTTGTCATGTCTGCCAAATAGACAAATTACATCATTTATGCCTTATCAACTTTTACTGAGTTTCACATTGACATAAATAATTCAATCAGAATATGGTTAGTAACAATTTTTATTAGAATATAGAATCATGTTAAGTACCCTGTTATGCTAATCATTTTCTGTGTGAAAAATTATTATGCGTGTCATAAATGCATTTTTATATTTCCAAAACAATTGATAAATATATAAATAGATTGAAAATTTTGAAAAGGACAATTTTTATTTTTCATTCTTTCAAAATTCTTTCAAAATTATCTGTTGAGATTTAAACTATTAGGTTCAATCATATCTCTTTCTAACAAATATTAGTTTACTGCAGGCTTCTGCTTCAAGCACATACTCTCAAAATACTTTGATACAAAAATCAAATATGACTCTAATGGAAAATGGTTAACAAAGATCAATATTGTACAATATACTAATATTGACTGAAAAATTGTTCTTGTACTGAAAGTATTTATATTTTAACTATTTTTCTTTTATAAAACAAGTCTAATATATATTCTTTTTAATAAGATTTTATAAAAATTCTTCAAAGATCTAGTGAATACTAAACAAAGACCAGAATATCTTTAATTTCTGAGAATATTAAGCAAAGTTAATATGAAATAGCTGCAAATATTTTCTGTATTTTGATCATTATGCTAGATACTGATCTTTTAAAGAAGCATTATGCCAGTATATGAAAGATAAAGATAATTTTAATTTTATATTTTATTTAAATATCTGCTATTTATAAGCTTATTTTTTCAATAGCATATTACAAGAGATATTATACAGTTAAAAAGAAAGATTCTATATATTATCAGAAAGAAAAAGCAAAAATAAAAGACCAAGTGATTTGAAAAAAGATATAATATTCTGAAAATCTTCCAAATAAAATTATTAAAGTGTAATTATTAGCTAAAAACAATATAAAAAATAATAATAATAATATTTAGGATAATTATAATATTTTTATCAATATAATTAATTTTATTACTATAATATAATTTTAGAAATAACTACAGTTAATACAAAAAATAATAGTGATTATGTTTTTTTATTAAAATTCATAATATATTAACAAGAAATTACTCATATTTGATATTATATTCTTTAGAATAATAAAAATAAAATTTTCTAAAATCACAAAGCATATTAGTATAATAATATTTTGTAAAATAACATGTTAAAGATAGTAGATTGGGAAGCTACTCTGGTTAAGAAACTGTAAAAAATTTTTAAAAATATTTTTTATAAGCAAGTATGAAAATAATTTTATAAAAATATATTTAAAGATATAAAAAGATATTTGTAATTTAAAAAAAAATTTTAGTTGATATATATTGAATAAATACCAGTTAAAAAAAGGTTTATTTTTGATAAATTTTATAATAAAATATAATAAAATATAGTAAAAATATTATTTTTATTATGAAATTTATCAAAATTAAATCTTTTTTTAACTGGTATTTATTCAATAAATAATAATTAAAAATTTTTTTTAAATTATAAATATATTTTCTATATTTTTAAATATATTTTTATAAATTATTTTCATACTTGCTTATAAAAAATAATTTTAAATAATTTTTTAAAACTTCTTAATCAGAATAATCCCAGCCTATCATATTTAACACATAATTTCACAAAAATTATTATATTAATATATTTTATAATCTTAAAATATTATTTTTATCAGTCTAAATATAATATAAAATTTTTTTAAATTTTTAACAATTTCTTATTAAATTATAAATGAAAAACATAATTACTATTACTTTTTATATTGACTATACATTAATAATAATTTTTTATCAAGTTATTATTAATAAAATTAATAAAAAATAGCTCATTTTCAAGCTTTAAAAAAGCATAATATCAAAAATCTTTCCAAAAAATATAATCTGAATAGGTGTATGATAATAATACTATAATTGATCAAATTTTATATTTTTATTTACTAATAGAAAAATAATCTGAAAAAGCAAAAAATATTAATAATAATAATACTCATCCAAAAGATAGAAATATATAAAATTTAATTAATTTGAAAATAAAAAATTAAATTATAATATAATATTTCAAATATTAAATAAAAAATTCTGAATATTAATTCAAATTATCTTATAAATTATGAAAAAAATTCTAAATATCAATCCAGAATCACTTTATAAATTATGAAAAAATTCTGAATAATAATTCAGAATTATTTTATAAAATATAAAATAATTATAATATAAAATATAAAAAAAATTCTATATTTACTACAGAATTAATTTAGAATTATTCTGTCATATCAAATTCTATATAGTTCTTTTTCATAAAAATTCTTGAATATTTTAAAATCACAATTCATGAAAATATAAAAATTCAGAAAATATTACAAATATTTCATATTTAAAAAGAGTATTAAAACTTACAGAAAGAGAAATTAGAAGTCTTATAAAATTAATTAAGCAAAATTAAAATTAGTAATAATTTCTAGAAAAAATAACAAAAATATTTAGTAAGTCTTTATCAATTTCAATATCTTCTAATATTATAAAGTATATTTTATATATTAAGAGATTTTATAAATATACTAGAAAGAAAAATTATTTATTTTTAAACAAAATTATAAAAAAAGAAATTGAAATAATAAGTAAAATTATATTATTTAAAGTGATAAATTTCACTTTATATTATTTCAAAATAATATAAATTATTAAATTTGTATAAATTATATGAAAAATATGATATAAATTACTTAATTTCAACTGTAAAATCTAGAAATCAAGAAGTTATATTATGAAGATACTTTTGCAAAAGATAAAATTAGTTCTTTAATTCAAGATTTAGATAAAATAACAAATTTTATATATATATAGATATATTAGAAAATACTATTATAATAGTTTAAAAAATAATTCATAATATATTTTTTAAAATAATAATACTTTAATACATAGGACAAAAATGATCAATCAATAAAAAGAGAATAATTTAATATAAAGTCTTCTATAATCTGCACAATATCCAGATCTTAATTTAATTAAATATTTGTGAGATATTTTAAGAAGAAGAGTAGAAAATGTAAGTCTTATCCAAAAAATATTATGAAATTAATAGTAGTTTTAAAGAAGAAGTAGAATAAAATTAAGTCTGAAATTTTAATAAATTTAATTAAAAGTTTGTCAAGAAGGATTCAAACAATATTAAATAGTTAACTAAATATTATAAAATTCATATTTTTCTGAATAAAATAATAAAAATATTTGTTTATAAATTATCAAAAAATTAATCATTGAAGTTTGTGCATTTTTATCCAGCTTTAAAATCATAAATTTTAATGACTTTTAATTAATATTTTCTAATTTCTCTTTAAATAAATTATGATAAAAAATATATTATTTTATTCAGTAAAAGTAGGACTATTTATATATATATATATATATAATATTAGGTTGGATATATATTTGTATCAATTACAGCTTACACTTTTCTTAGTATACTTTTAATCAAATTTTTTAAAATTTCCAGTTCAATTTCATTCTATTTCTCTGTATCTTTCAGATTTTTGAGATGTATTGGTCATGCATAAATTCATTTTTCCTAAACATTTTATAAATACTCAATTGAATTTAGATCAGAACTTTGGGCAGATCATCAAAATAAAGCTATTAGATTTCTCTCTCTCAATTTATCAATATGATAATTTCTGTAAACCAACACATTATCATCTTGAAAAAAATAAACAAAACTAGCTGATAGTTCATCTAAAAATAACTAAAGATACTATTCAAGCAATTCTATATATTTTTGATTAGTTATTATATCATCAACTTTGATTAATAGTCCAAGTGCATTTTGGATAAAATATTCTCTTACCATTACTCTCTCAATTATCTGATTTTATACTAGAAAAAAGATAATTAACATCATATATTTCATTAGATCAATATCAAATCCATTATCATAAATCATTTCTAAATATTAAATATCTTAATTCATCATTACAAATTACTAATTCCCATTCAAGAATCTAATCTTTTTATTCTAGATACTATTTTAATCATTTATAATAATTTTTCTTAGATATGAAAGATTTTCTTAGATTAGCCTGATCAAAAATCCACTTTTATAAAGATTATAATGTATAGTTTTAGAACTAATAGAAATTTTCAAATCAGTATTAAATTTTTTAGTAATTTTATTAACTGATTATTATTAGTTATCTTTTACAATATTAATTATTTTTTGAATATCTCTATCATTTTAATATTAATGATCTATTATTTTTGTAATTTCTTTATATTTTTGTAATATGTTATGAACTGTAAATTTGGATCTTTTCAGAGTTTCTCCTATTTTTTGTTTGGAAAAATTATACTTCCAAGCATCAACTATCTCATCAGTGCTTAAAATCTATAAGTTAGTAATTTCTATAAGTATTGGTTAAGTTTGATATATTTTTTTATATTATTTTAAAATTTAAGATTTTAGCTTTCTAAAGAGCTATTAAATGAATAATGCAACTCAATCTTAATTTATGTTAATTATCTTCAATTTCAAATTTTGTCCAATTAGTATATATAACTAATATTGTTAATTTACACTGAATATATAATGCCATATTTTTTATTAATTTTTTAAATATTCTTAAAAATTATCTTATATTTCTTTTTAATTCTAAGCAAATTTGGAAAATATTATTATAATATTCTAATATATTTTATAGATACTTATTTAAATTGTGATTTGATAATGATAAGTTAATTTAGTATATTTTGATCTCTTTCTAAGAGATTCTGATTTTTATATCACTAGCCAAATAAATAGCACATT